TAATCTTCTGCTCCACTGCATGGCCCTGGGAGTGGGTGGTTGTCAGATGAAAACAGGCCGAAATGAGGCCAAAAATGAAGAAAAACAACTCACTCATTGTTGGGTTAACTAACAGCCTTTTTCACACTATTTGCCGTGTTCTTTAAACTGACAGAATACGACGTGACAGAATTAGTTGTGGTAGGTCGGCACAGAACTTAGACAAATTTTGATTTATCATCGTCGGCTCTAAGTCAAAAACTAATTTATGTTATGTTCCATTCACTTGCAATCTCATTTCTCAAATTCTAACACGAAGTAATTATATTTTTCATAAGTCTTGATTTAGATAAAAAAAATGGAATATTTACGCTACATTAATCCCAAACTCAATGTAAATTTTCTTTGCATTCCTAATTTTTATTTTTAATCTAAGTCTCAATGTGTCCTGTACATAAACTATCATCTAATATCGAACCACAAATCTTTTAAATAAGATAACACTTCTCTGACGTCACTTGTCCTAAAAGGATGTAGCCTGTGATGAGTGATAATCACCTTTTGATTGAAACGAACAACACAAAGCGGGGCTCAAAACTCGATAGGCGATAAGTTTAAAATGTTGTAGTGGGAACAACCGCACGCAACGATTCACTTTTACCAACTGAACGCAGTGACGATCTTGCCAGAGTTTATAGCTTGGCCCCAAAAAGCCAAACAAACCAAAAAGAGCCAACACGGTCCGCGGTTCGATGTTCGAACGTGCTTCAAACCGGGCTGGAGGCTTGGCTTAAACGAGTGATCCAGTGATCGAGTGCTCCGTGGGGGCAAAAAATAGACACCAACAAAATTGGCATAAGCAGCAGGGGTCTTTTTAAGCTGGAGACGAGCTCGGAATGCATTCGATGGCTAATTGAGTTAGTTGCAGCTACTGCTGCCATAAATGTGTCAGTGTGCTACTGGTTTGAGGTCTATAACTTGGAGTCTCGAGTGCATCTGGTTGCTTCGAACACGTTGCAGCAGCGAGTTCGCGGCCTGAGTCTTTTGTTTTTCTTATTTTGCAAAATTAATACGTGAGGAAAAGGCAAATCGCATCGATGACCGTTACCAGCTATTTTGAGCGAAATGATTATGCATTTATGTTTGATTTTATTTTAATTATCTGCCGCTAAGCCGAATTGCCCTCGGGTTGAATTTTTGTAAGCATTTTTGTACATTTATGTAACAATTGTATATTTTTTTACTCTCCGATACAAAGCAAAACGGTGTCAATAAAATCAATAGAGCTTAAATTGCTTCCGGCACAATTTGCTCATCATTAGCCAAAAGGTGTTGAAGAAGCGAGCAAAATGGGCAGCGCAAAGGTAACAAAAAATGGAAAAATAAACTCAAGCTAAAATATGTTTACATTGTTAAAATTTATTTCGGCTGCCTTTGTGGGCCTACTTGATTTGATTAATGTGATTTATCGACTCCCCAAATGGGAGCATAAGAAATTAATTCATTAATTTACACTGTGCTCGGCCGAATAATATTGCCTAATAACGTTGGTGTGTATCTCAGTAAGCGGCTCCAATGCTGCACCTGCTCAAGTTCACCCCCACAAGGCGAATCAGCTTCTGATTTGTTCCAAGTGTCCTCTCACGCACCTCGAGCTCATCTTCAAAATGCACTTCGCGCATACTTTTACATAAAACATGGAAATATACCCGATGTGAGGTCGCTCGGTAAATTAAATTTAATTGCATTTTCAGCAGTTGCGAAGTGCGGTGGAGTGCCGCCAACAACTTTAAATCGATTCGGAATCGCTTCAAATTTGCCCAGATACGATTGCATCTTTTTGTATACCCTAAACAGAGGTTCGGCGGACAACGGATTAATTGAATGGATTATAGAAATCACTCATTTGAAGCCATTAGGTAAAGTTGACATATGAATGCCATAAAATTACTGGCAAATATCTTTTTGCCCATCGCGCCTTTAAGAGCATCAAAATGTCAACTTTAACACATTTTTAGTCAAAGCGAAGCCATGAAACGGAATGATTCTGTCACTGTCACAATTGCTAAAACTGCTATGAAGAGTTTAAATGGATTTTTTAAACAGTCCTTGTTAAGAATACTATGTTATTTTAGTGTACCATTAAAAAGTTGCTCATTTGTTCACAAATACTTTTTAATGAGCATGGATTACATCATAAAGAGCGGGACAGCATTGAAAAAGAATTTATTTCCAAGTGCATCATATTGAAATGAAATATAAGAACTAAAAACTTTATAGGCTGGCAAGCTGGCAGCAATATGAAATATACCAGGCTCGTAACTCCGTACTTAGCCTGCATTTCTTGTTATTTGCTGTGACTTTGAACGCATTTGCTCAAGTGATTTATGCATCCGAACATCCGATCTCGAAGTGAGTCGAAGCAGCAGATGTGTGAAGTCATTTGAAATCATTAAGTGTGAACAGCTCCAAACTTTGATCGTCATAATGATGGAGCCCCGAACTTGAACTTGAAGACCGCTGACTTGCAAAAGGCCGCCGCACAAAACAGCACACGAATCTGCTTCCAAAATATACACAATCAAAAAGGCATATCCATGGCTGCGGCTGCAATTAGATCTGCACTCCACTCCAAATGGGTTACCCAGCGGCGAGCAACAACAATTAAAAATGGGTCTTGGCGGTGGAGCAACAATTAAAATTAAAAAAAAATTAAAACTCCGCTTACCATGAAGCCAAGTACGAGAGACCTTAGGCGTCATGGATGGATATATCGTACCTGTACAAAGGTATCTATACAAAGGCACGAGACGCTGAAATTTTATGGCCCTCGGCTGATGCTCACGACTGTTGTGGGATTGAGGTGCTCCATTGCCTGCAATCGCCAATTCCACTTTCCTTTGCCAAATATTTAACAAAATTGGCAAAATCCCACGCAGCCTCGCTGCCACATACTCATAATTGGGTCGCTTAATCTATCATTTGACATCTCTGATCCCCGCCGCCCTCAGACAGCTTTTTAATTACAATTGCGCTCATTGTTTGAGCAGCGATTTCTGGCTTACATTTTGTGGCTTACGCAACGCTCGGATTGCGTGGCAATTGCCAGAGGAAAGTCATCATTAGATTGACATAAAAACTCCTTATCTAGCTTATTACGCGTTTTGAAACCTTAAAACGTCGGCCCTTACAAAATAGGCTTATTTATTTCAAAGTTAAATGCGCTTTTTGCTGATAAAGTGCATGCCTCTGCGCAACTAACGATAAATTTTTACCAAAACTTACCAACAAATTTTGGAACAAGTTTAGGTGGTTTTGCGAGCTATTGAGTAATGGCAACGTTCTGAATCTCTACTTTCCTAAATGGAATGGCCCAAGACAAGAAAATGTTCTGGACAGTAATTAAGCAGGTTTCATGGACAGGTGGAGCGGTCCAAAAAATGATACGCCGTTTAAAAAGAAGTGCGGGCACAAAGCGTGAACAATGATAAATTACAATAACATAGCATAATTAACTTTGATGCTAATTAGCTTCTTCTTCTCCCTCGGCGAATATAGATGTCGATGGGTTACCACGTTTGCATACAAGGCATATATACCACCATGTTTAAGCATATGTATGAGGTTGCCATAACCCAGTGACTGACTTCCACTGTTTACCGCATCACGTGGCGTCGGCACCTTGGGTTCTGTAACTCATCGCATCTTCATAGCCAAAAACCAACATATATTTCGCCACTCTTTGGTGGCGAAAATGTCAGAGGTTTCTGCGGAGCTCGCGGATTCGGTCAGCAGCCGATTATCCAAACCATTTTCCGCCATCAACAATTATTTGTTTTATTTATGTGCGGTTTATAAGTATATTTTTCTCCGCTTTTTGTCAATTGAGGAAAGCCTTCATCGCATTTGGCCGTGAAACGAATTCGCATCAAGACGCTTGGAATCTTAAATTGGTCAAATAATTGTTCGCTTCAGTTCAGTTTTGGCCAAGGAAAACATTTGCCCTGCTTTGTTTGCTATACTTAATTGTGTACAATATTTATTTGTGCTTTGTTTTCTTTAAATTGAATAAGTAATTACATTTTATTTTAAGGTTTGGTAGTCATTGCGGACCATTATACTTTGAAGCATTATCGGGATTGCAATTCGCTTGAAACGTTTTTCTTTCGTTTCACTACATTCGATTTGAGTATTTCACTTGCAAATTCCCACTTTCGTATATCATTTTGTGTCATATACTTAGCGCCACATTGCGTTGCACGTGTGAGAAATAAACAGAATAGTTGGGACGCATTTCATCTAACGCCGGCGCCATTGTCATAGAAAAGCTAAAGCAGAAACGCAAACTTTCGGGGGCGTCTTGGCCAAAGCAGACACTCTGTTATTGTTTCGACTGGCGGCTGTGGATGTGGATGTGGATGTGTTGTTAGCCAAATTGTGCGACAAAAATTCTGAGCCAGCCGCATGATTTGTTGCATTGTGGCACGATGCGACGTTGGAGTCGAGTGCTCGAAACTGGGAGCTCATTAGGCCGGGGGTATCCGTTACGCAATCTCGTTTGCATTGTTGAGTTTACTGGCAGCAGCTGAAGATGATGGCGGCACTAGTTGGATTTGGCTTGTTTGGATTTGTTTTTGCGCAGTTTCGCTAATGTGGACTTTTGTCTTGCGTTTTAGCTGCATTCTAACATAAATATTAGCTAAGCTTGGTTTTTAAAGTAGGATTTCATTTGGCTTACTTCGGCTTTATTTAGATTCTTTAGCTATATTCTGTTGGCTCTTCAAGTGCGTGTTAAATGGTTCTCTCCACATTCCTCATTTGCTTTGTAATTAATTGATCGTTTGTGGATAAGCTCATGAAGGTTAGATAACAATTGATGATATTCAAATGCAATTTCAGCTGCAAAGCCAGCCACAGCAATTACCATATCGCCGCCATTTAAACTGCGATAAGCAGTGCACTCCAGCGAATTGAATCGATCTCAACTTGACCAGGAAGCCTCATTTATTCGGATTCGAGCAATGATCCGCTACGGAGTGGACACTTTTCGCGGCTGCCGAGCTCCATTCCGCTGCTGGCTGAGTGCCAGGGATTCCCTGATGGTGACCATTGCCTTTACCCTGGGCATCACTCCGTTTCTGGTGCGGCGCAACGCGCTGGGGAAGACGTCCTTGGAGCAGTCCTGGTATGGATTCGTGAGTGCCATTTTGCGCTGGCTGCTGCTCGCCTACTGCTACCGCTACATCAACCTGAGCAACGAGAGCCTGATTGGCTATTTCATGAGGAACCATGTGTCCCAGGTCAGCACACGAGTCCATGACCTCGGAGGCATTATAGCCGCCGTATTCACCTTTATTTTGCCGCTGCTCCTGCGGAAACACTTCCTGTCAAGAACATGGTGCAGGCCGATGAACAGCTAGACCGCCTGCGAAGTCCCGTCAACTTCAACACGGTGGTGGGTCAGGTTGTGCTGGTCGTCTTGGCGGTGGTTCTCCTGGACACTGCCCTAGTTTGCCTTGCCAAACTGGAGGTGTACGCCTCGTGGCAACTCACCTGCATTTTTGTCTACGAGCTCTTGGCCAATTCCATCACCATCTGCATGTTCTGCCTGATGACCAGGACGGTACAGCGAAGAATCGCCTGCCTTCACAAGGTGAGTGATGACAAGATACTAATTTTATGGAAATTATGTAGTATTTACTACGTGTCCTATTCAATTAAGGCATCCCAACTCAACACAGTTCGTCTGTGGCGAATAACCAGCCACCCAGCCATCCAATCATCATATATCACCTGTCAATCAGAGTAATCCCTCGTTCCCTGCACAAAAGAAGTAAGCTGAGTGGAGAAATCTGATCAGCTTATGGCTGGTGCAATGGCCAGAACGATTCCCCATCGATATCCTTCAGCTTCATTTCCATATCCAGCCAGTCATCGAGTGTGACCAGATATGCGATTACTCGAGTGTCTCCTGATAATGAAGACAATGAATTGCCCGTCACGAACCCGGCAAACTCGCTTGGAGCTCACGCACTTGACGGGAAATATCTTTAAAGTCTAGCGACTGAATTAAGCTCAAGTGGTTTCCGCTTACAAGGACACGATGGCGCTGATTCGGTCTGAGTCGTACACACAAACAATTATTTGCCGACTTTCTAACCCGGTGTCTAACCAAAAGGTTTTAGCCGAAAACGGTTTGATTTTCTTTCCATGTACCCCCCGAAGATATACACATTACTCACTAATTCTTATTTCGCCTTTTTTATTAACATAATTTATATCCATTTCATTTGTTTGTGTGCATAAAATTTGCAAAAGCCATCACTGGCAGCTTTATAGAGTGAGAGGACGATAACACTTGTTGCTATTGCCCGCCACTTGTTGTTGTGAATCCTAGACAACATCATAATGAGCTTTCGCCAGCCGGCATTTCGTTTTATATCCCCCCCTCACCCACTTCAGTCGACCGCCCGTCCTTTCATTATCCTTTAGCTCACTTCGTTTGCATCCGTCGCGTGGCAATCGCTATTTTTCCTGCTCACCAGCCAGTTCGCGTTGACACTTTCACCCGAACGGTTGTGCGATTTGTTGTGCGCCTTGCTCTGTTTTCATTTCCGCTTCCGGTGTGCATTAGTTCGATTTACTTCGTCGCCATGTCCGCCCTGCGTAGGGTGCGCAAATACTTTATATCCTCCCAGGTCTACGAGGCACTGCGTCCTCTGTTCTTCCTGACGTTTCTGTACGGACTGACGCCATTTCACGTGGTTAGGCGGAAGATGGGCGAGTCCTACTTGAAGATGTCCTGCTTCGGCGTCTTCAACATCTTCATTTACATCTGCCTCTGCGGCTTCTGCTACATCTCATCCCTGAGGCAGGGCGAGTCCATTGTGGGCTACTTCTTCCGCACCGAAATCTCCACCATCGGCGATCGTCTGCAGATCTTCAATGGCTTGATAGCCGGTGCTGTGATTTATACGTCGGCAATCCTGAAACGCTGCAAGCTCCTGGGCACCCTGACCATCCTACACAGCTTGGATACGAACTTCTCGAACATTGGTGTTCGTGTGAAGTACTCGCGGATCTTCCGGTACTCGTTGCTGGTACTGATCTTCAAGCTTCTGATCCTCGGAGTTTACTTCGTGGGCGTTTTCCGGCTGCTCGTCTCATTGGATGTCACCCCCTCGTTCTGCGTTTGTATGACATTTTTTCTGCAACATTCGGTTGTCTCCATAGCGATTTGTTTGTTCTGCGTGATTGCCTTCAGCTTCGAGCGGCGCCTCAGTATCATCAATCAGGTGAGTGGGGGTTATGGCTATCAGTTATCAGTGCGACCAGCAAGTACAGGTAAATGTTTACCTGCAGCAGGTGGAGACGGGGATTCCGGTGGGGGATTCGCTATCATCGCTTTCATTACTCAACCGCAAAGCAAGTGTGAAAATTAATTTATGTAAAACCATTGTTACGCACCACATGCTCTCGCCAAACTAGATTATTTGCTTGATTCCACTGGACATGTTTAGTAATTACGTTTGCTTTTTGGATGGAGCTGGTCAGCAAATAGCACAGCCTAGACTATTTGTCCACAAGGTCTGCTAGGCAATGGATTAAGTTTCTCTATTGGGCATGGGAATCATTTTTTGTTCAGCTGACCAGAGAATTAGATAATTAGATTCAACTGTGCTGCCTACCCTAGGCATACGAATAAATTAAAAATTAATTTATTAATTATAAATACATAATATTAAGTATGAGTTGACCAACAAGAAGGCGCCATTTCGCATTCAAAAAAATGTCATTTCTCCTCCCACTTGCCCTTCCGAATATGAAATTATTAAATTTCAAGGCTTCTGGGAACTGTGCTCATCATAAATTTGCAACAGCATTTATCACTTCTACGCATTACCTAAACCAGCCGAAAATGCCAATGACCCCTCATAACCGATAAAACGAATGAGCAATATCCCGTGTATTTCATAATGGCCATAACTCCTCCGTTACCAAGCAAATCTCATCTACGGCAGGACACGAATTACAAAGGCTGTTATAACCTGGCGAACAATTGACATAAATTCGTTCTCGCTATTCATGGAAACCAAGAAATTAATTTGGCTTAAGAGAGTCTCCGGTCACTCATTGATCCAAATAGGGATATACATAGGGACAAGTAGACACGAAAAACTTCCTTTAACGTGGGGAAATCGTTGGACGGCCCTGGGGAAATAATTCCCCGGCGGGTTGGGCCATTAATTAAAATGCAACAGCTAGAGCTAATAGGTTAATGGTCGAAACGGAACATAGCCGGACAGCAGCTTGTCTAGAGCCGTGGTACATATAAAAATGGGAAAATTATTTACTTTTCCAAACCCACCCGCAAACTTCCTGGTCCGACGACGCCTGGTAAAATGCAAATCATTTGCGGTCCCTGGCGTCAGTCGCCAGTTGAAGCTCAACCGAAGCGGTCATGGACATTGAAACGGCCAAGGAGCCGGTGGATCCGACGGATACTCCGGACATAGAAGTGGCTTCAGGTCTATGCCAGCCCCTGCGTCGTAGATTTAGGCGGTTTTTCACCGCCAAACAGCTTTACGAGTGCCTGCGTCCCGTGTTCCATGTGACCTACATCCACGGACTCACCTCCTTCTACATCAGTTGCGACAGTAAGACCGGAAGGCGGGCCATCAAGAAAACCATCTTTGGCTACATCAATGGCACCATGCACATCGCCATGTTCGTCTTTGCCTATAGCCTAACGATCTACAACAATTGCGAGTCGGTGGCCAGCTACTTCTTTCGGTCCCGCATCACCTACTTCGGGGATATGATGCAGATAGTGAGTGGATTCATTGGAGTTACAGTCATTTACCTGACGGCCTTCGTGCCAAACCATCGACTGGAGAGGTGCCTCCAGAAGTTCCACACCATGGACGTGCAACTCCAGACGGTGGGGGTGAAGATCATGTACAGCAAGGTGCTGCGGTTTAGCTACATGGTCCTCATCTCCATGTTCCTCGTGAACGTCCTCTTCACCGGCGGCACCTTCTCGGTGCTCTACTCATCGCAGGTGGCGCCCACCTTGGCCCTGCACTTCACCTTCCTCATCCAGCACACGGTCATCGCCATAGCCATTGCGCTCTTCAGCTGCTTCACCTATCTGGTGGAGATGCGCCTGGTGATGGTCAATAAGGTAAGGGACTCAATCGGAGGGCGACGCTTAACCAGGGGCGATGGTGAGATATTAGTGGAAAGGAAGAAGGAACACCCTTATATTTATTCACAAATTACCCCACCAATTTCCTCATCAGTCTGCCCAGAAGACAACAAGTAGTGCCAGATATAGTTATTAACTTTAAAACCCGACTTTACTTATGAGTGTGGGTTGCCCAACCCACTGATCCGATAGTCCTTTTCAACATATTCCTAATCAAAACTATTACAATCACATGCGTATCGCTTAGCAGCTATTTAACTAGTTAGCCGCTTTAATTGAGTATTTCCCACGAGGACACTAAAATGGCAACGACATAATATTTTTCCATTTGGCGCAGGTGTTTTTAATTTCATTCAGCTGAATCAATTAAATTAATTAGCCCACACAAACACTGACCGTGAACCCGCCAGCCGGAGGACATCAACTCCCTCTTTATAATTTCATATCGCTGGAAAGCCGGAAAGCTGGAAACCCACAGAAACCGCCATTAAATGAGAACTTTGTCGGTGGCTGATGGACGGGTTTACATTACCTGACCTGTCAACGGCGAAAAGTAGACAATATTAAACGCCACGACGTTCAAGGCGTGGATCATAAATACTTTAAAGGCCAATCACTGATGAAATGTACCCGACGTGGCTATAAAAGCAACTTGCACTGGCCTCTGAAAAGTACTCTTTTTCGGCGGCAATGCAGCGCATTGTATTTTGAAAATAATTTTAAGAAATGTTACACTCCTTTGGCGAACTACTCAAACCTCGGGATGCCTTCGGAGCGGAGCAAACCCTGCTTTTCTACACCTACCTACTGGGCTTGACCCCTTTCCGTTTGCGGGGTCAGGCTGGTGAGCGGCAGTTTCAACTAAGTAAACTCGGCTATCTGAATGCCCTTCTGCAGCTGAGCTTCTTCAGCTACTGCTTTTTGGCCGCCCTCATCGAGCGGCAGAGCATTGTTGGCTACTTCTTCAAGTCCGAAATATCGCAGATGGGAGACTCGCTGCAGAAATCCATCGGAATGACGGGGATGTCGATACTGTTCCTCTGCAGCAGCATTCGGGTTAGGTTGCTGATCCGTATCTGGGATCGCATATCCTGCATAGATGAGCGGTTTCTTGGCGTGGGAGTGTGCTTCAATTATCCCGCCATTATGCGCTTGCGGCATCTGCAGATGTTCCTCATCAATGGCGTGCAGTTGAGCTACTTGGTCAGTTCCAACTGGATGCTGCTGGGAAACGACGTGAGACCCATTTACACAGCAGTTGTCGCGTTCTATGTACCCCAAATATTTCTACTGAGCATTGTAATGCTGTTTAATGCTACTTTGCACCGCCTCTGGCAGCACTTCGTTGTGCTGAATCAGGTGGGTTGCGCTGAATGAGACTCATTCCTTAAAAACATTAACTATTTTACTAAGCCACTCGGCCACTAAGCCTTTAACCCCACGAAGCAGCAGCTCTTCAAATAATTAAATGCATATCGCAGTGGCCGTCGTTTTATGAGCCTGACAATTTATTAGCGTTGTGAGATTGTTATCCCATTCCGCGTAGTCCACGGACACGATGGCTTCATAGAGCAGCCATACGCCATGTGGCTCCTTGGGCGATTGGTTAGGAAGTCGGGTAACCGACCACACGACGTGTACAGCTGCTATCGATTGACCATACTCATGGCCCTTTGGCTCGGGATTGTGCCCTACTACGTAACCGTATCTGCAGGAGGCCGAGGAAAACTGGCATCTTCGTACATCGGCTACGTCAACATCCTCATGCGAATGGCCGTTTATATGGGCAACTCGTTCTACGGCGCCATCAATCGGAGCTCGCTAATGTCCAACTTCTTCCTGACGGACATATCCAACGTGATAGATGGACTGCAAAAGATCAACGGAATGCTGGGTATCTCCGCCATACTGCTCATATCGCTGCTGAATCGGAGGGATTTGCTGCAACTGCTGGCCATCTTCGATGGACTCGAGACGGAGGCGTTTCCACGGGTGGGCGTGGCAATGCATCAGGTGGCAGCTAACAGGAAAATGAATCGCTTGGTTGGGATCCTGGTGGGCAGCATGGCGGCATATATTACCTGCAGTTTTCTGATGATCGGCCTAAGAGACGCGGCCACATTTTCCATCTCATCGGTGATTAGTTATTTCTCACCACATTTTATCGTGTGCGCGGTTTCCTTTCTGGCTGGAAACATAATGATCAAATTACGCATATATCTGGGTGCTCTTAACGAGGTTAAGCTGGTTGGGCCTATTTAATATTTCAACTTACACTTTCTGTTTAATTCTGCTTACAGGTGCTGAAAAACCTAGCCCATCAATGGGACACCCGCACCCTCAAGGCAGTGGCTCAAAAACAGCGCTCCCTACAATGCCTGGATTCGTTCTCCATGTACACCATCGTAACCAAGGATCCTGCCGAGATTATACAGGAGTCCATGGAGATACATCATCTGATTTGCGAGGCCGCCGCCACGGCCAACAAATATTTTACCTACCAGCTGCTGACCATTATATCCATAGCATTTCTGATCATCGTTTTCGATGCGTACTATGTTCTGGAGACCCTGCTGGGGAAATCGAAGCGTGAAAGCAAATTCAAAACTGTCGAGTTCGTGACGTTTTTCTCCTGTCAAATGATCCTGTATCTGATCGCCATCATTTCGATTGTCGAGGGTAGCAATCGCGCCATCAAGAAGAGCGAGAAGACGGGAGGAATAGTGCACTCCCTACTCAACAAGACCAAAAGTGCAGAGGTCAAGGAGAAACTGCAGCAGTTCTCCATGCAGTTGATGCATCTCAAAATAAATTTCACTGCAGCTGGGCTGTTTAACATCGACCGCACCCTGTACTTCACGGTTAGCTGCCACACATTTCTGTTAATATACGAGTACATATTCGTAATTTTCCTAATGAATCATTCATTTGCTACAGATCAGCGGGGCCTTGACCACTTATCTCATCATCTTGCTGCAGTTCACGTCCAATTCCCCCAACAATGGTTATGGGAATGGCAGCTCTTGCTGTGAGACCTTCAGTAACATGACGAATCATACGCTTTAGATGTGCTATCGATGTCATTACAATATGGGGGATGGAATCGAGTCTATGGAGTCTATGGAGCCGGTGAAATGGTATTGAATACGTCCAGCAGAATGTGTATTTTTTGTAAATGTTATTGTTGTTGCTAAAAGTGTTTTCTGTCAATATGAACCAACGGTTGGAAATAAATTCTTAATCGGTAGTAGAGTCTTTTTAATTGGCTCTTAGAAACATCAGAAACATCGTCTTCGGTGTAGCATAAAAAATAGCACTAAAATTGAAATGATTATGTGTTTAACTTCAACGTAGCTCACCTTTAGCACCAAAAATATTAAGGTAATAGAGACATCGAGTTTAAACACATTTTTCGTGTTGTGTAAGTGCAACTGTATAAGTCAAGCAAAAGTAACCCGTTGTTGCTGTCCATCAACTAATTAGTAGCAAGTACCTTCCAAAAAGTGAGGCCTGCCAGCCATCTGCGTGGTCGTTAAATGGGTGTCGTAAATTGTTTGCCAATCGTAATGAATAGCCATTGGCCAGAACATGGACTTGGCAAAAATGGACATGTCAGGAATTCCGTTGAACTCGTTGAACCTGTGTGTAAATGACCTTGACCACCCGAACCCCTCCCCTCGCTTAATGTTAAATTAGTATTTGCTGCTATTGATATTAGTCTATTAGGAGTGCAGAGGTGTGTGCGATTTTGATATACGATACATGAGTCCTGGCCCGAGTGGACACAAAGTTAATCATCATCATCAGCCGGCGAAGACTTCCGTTGTCAGTTGGCGGAAAATACGCGAGTCGAGCGGACGCTGCACCTCCAGCGAAATTTTTCAAAAACAACCTCAGAAGGGTTAATCAATGGCCTTTAAGTTGTGGGAGCGCTTTTCCCAGGCGGACAATGTGTTCCAAGCACTGCGACCCCTCACATTCATATCGCTATTGGGCCTGGCTCCATTTCGGCTGAACTTAAATCCCCGGAAGGAGGTGCAGACATCCAAGTTCTCCTTCTGCGCCGGCATAGTGCACTTCCTGTTCTTCGTCCTGTGCTTCGGCATCTCCGTGAACGAGGGCGATTCCATAATAGGCTACTTCTTCCAGACCAATATCACCAGATTCAGCGATGGCACCCTTCGCCTCACTGGCATCCTGGCCATGTCCACCATTTTCGGCTTTGCCATGTTCAAGAGACAACGTTTGGTCAGCATCATACAGAACAACATAGTGGTGGACGAGATATTTGTGAGGCTGGGCATGAAGTTGGACTACCGCAGGATACTGCTCTCCAGCTCCCTCATATCCTTGGGCATGCTTCTCTTCAACGTCATTTACTTGTGTGTCAGCTATAGCCTGCTGGTCAGTGCCACCATTTCGCCCTCGTTCGTCACTTTCACCACCTTCGCCCTGCCGCACATCAATATCAGCCTGATGGTCTTCAAGTTTCTGTGCACCACGGACTTGGCAAGGAGTCGGTTTAGTATGTTAAACCAAGTGAGTGTCGTGGGACTTGGGACTTTGCTGCGCATGCAGTGGCGATGGAATCAGAAAATATCTTTAAATTAAAGAGTGGGCCATCTTGGTGCTAACTCAACTTAAGTGCTTACTTATTTTTGTAGCATACTTTTCCCAGGCACAAGTTTATGAACTCAAAAACTGGCTTTAACTGACTTTAGTTGTGTATGACAAGCATTTTACCACCTAATGTCTTTGGCAGATCCTGCAGGACGTATTGGATGCCCACATAGAGCAATTAAGCGCCTTGGAACTCTCACCCATGCACTCGGTTGTCAATCACAGACGCTACTCACATCGCCTGCGAAACCTGATCAGCACGCCGATGAAGCGGTACAGTGTTACCTCCGTCATTCGCCTCAATCCGGAGTACGCCATCAAACAGGTGTCCAACATTCACAACCTGCTCTGCGACATTTGCCAGACCATCGAGGAGTACTTCACATACCCGCTGCTTGGCATCATCGCCATATCCTTCCTCTTCATTCTCTTCGACGACTTTTACATCCTGGAGGCCATCCTGAACCCCAAGCGACTGGATGTCTTTGAGGCCGATGAGTTCTTTGCCTTCTTCCTAATGCAGCTCATCTGGTACATAGTGATCATAGTGCTGATCGTGGAGGGCAGCAGCAGGACTATCTTGCACAGCAGCTATACGGCGGCCATAGTGCACAAGATCCTCAACATCACCGACGATCCGGAGCTCCGGGATCGCCTTTTCCGGCTGTCCTTGCAGCTATCGCATCGCAAGGTCCTTTTCACAGCCGCAGGACTTTTTCGCCTGGACCGCACACTGATTTTTACGGTGGATTATACCATAAAATAATTAACTATCTACTTAATGCATATTCTTACAGATTACTGGTGCTGCCACTTGCTACCTCATTATCCTCATCCAGTTCCGATTCACGCATCACATGGACGACACCAGCTTAAATTCAACAAGTCATTTGCATTCCACACATCTGGGGGATTGATAAAATTAATTTATATTCATCTTGCTTTACTGTATTCAAAATAGCAACTCACAGAAATGTTCAAAATGTAACAAATGTACAAAATGTAACAAATCTACATAGTTATATGTTTTATATATATATTTTATATATATATTTTATATATATTTTATATATTTTTATATTTTTATATGTTTTGATTTTGTTTTTAATGTTGCTCTTAGTTTCATTGCTTATTGGTTAATTTGATTCATAACAATTAAATGTTCTTGTGCTCTTGCAGCTATTTTGAACACATTAACCAATTCACTTCTAAACCAAGGTGTCTTAAGGTAAAAATAAAAAAATAAGTTCAAGTTTTCCGCCCTGCAGTGTAATTTGTTTTTATGCGTATTTTATATGAAATATACATATTATATTTAATATTCAATGCAAAAAGGGAACGCCAATTGCGCTAAAACTGTACGTTACGTGTCACGTAACGTAGCCAATTGACGACAGCACGCTGGTTGCTACGTCACTGACCGCGCGCTGACTGACATAAGCTGCTTGAATTGAACTAATGGATTCAAATGAAAAACGTTTCCCGAGACCCATTTCCTGGCTAGGGGATGGCTCGACCCACTTCTGCCTGCCCCACTTCGCAACATTGCAACATAATCTGCAGCGGTAGCTGACTTTTGGCCCCAACTGATAGCTAATCCCAGTTAGCACGCCATGTGAAAGGAGGCAGAACACTAATCCAATAAGAAAGCCAGCCTAAATGCGCACTGAAGCTACGACATTTGATTGCTTTATTGCCTCAGCCCGCCAGCCACTGGTGTTTTCTATGCCACATGCTGGGGAGTTGTACCCCCATGATAGCGATATAAGGGGCAGTTGAAACTTTGCTCTGATCGTTTGTCGATTTTCGCAGCTTACAAGGGTGTGGGGTTAGTCGTAATCATCACGATTAGCCGCATTGATAAGGCTTCGACAATTTGTTATCAATTCGGATTTCTACTTTATGATTTGTTTACTTTTCCACACGCCAACCGTTTCGTACGCGAAAATCCGCCCAGTCCTATGGAAGTCCAAGTGCACTGGATTTCCTTCGCAGATTGTGATTTTGTGAAATGTGACCCAGTTATACTTGCTATTCGACTGAACACTAGCAAATGTGTGGTCAACACAGTCTCAAGACATTCGTAATTTATTACATGTTAATAATTAAAAAAAATATATATATAAGAATAATATATGTATATTTGTATATTAAAAGTAAAGCCACAAATGGAATTTTTCTCCAAATCCTCTAATGGAATTCAGTAGGATTTGTTACATGTTTTATGTGACTAGGAGACCAAGAAATTGGTTTAGTGTAGCTAGTTTGCAAATAAAATTGGTGACACTGTTCTTCCTTCACTTTGATGCATTTTACAGTTTTAAAGTCGTGCCCGGACTTAGCTTATATATTGTTTAATTCAAAATTCAATGGCACAACTATGAAAAGCCCAAAGCGCAAATTAACCCAAACACCCACGCACACACACGCACACACACACATGCACACATATGCTTGGGCTCCTCTCAAGCCCAATTCCATTTCCATTTCCATTCCCATTTCCATGTGCCGCACTTGACTGACATTCGTCGCCGCCGAGACCGCACCGCTCATCTCCGCTCCGTTCTGCTCACGGTCCGTTCGCCGAGAGTCCGCCGCACAGTCGCATCGAAGCCGCCGGGCGAAGCGGTACCATTTAACGGCATTTCCTAGTCCTACGCGCGCCCACTTTTCCGGCCTCTGTGCAAAGAAATCCTCCACGTGCTCGAGCGCTCTGTCCACATCCTTATCGAATTTCAATTTCCTCGCAAGGAAAACCAAAAAAAGAAGCAAAAACCAAAAATTGAAGAGCCTGTGACTTGTTTCTATTTAGCAAATAAAAGTCAAGTGAGTGCCTTTAGGGGAAAACAAAGAAAGCTCCTTCGCAATATCACGCAATTTCTTCGCACTTCATGCCTGGTTAGCACATTCAGTTTTGGCTTGATTTGGCTTAATCGCCGGCAGACTTATTAAGATTACAGGCCATTAAATGAAATCAACTCGACAACATTGAAAAATATTCGCCAGACAGAAGTCCAAGTATATAAGTATGCACTGTGACAACCTATATTATTCATTGCTTTTGTGTTTATACTGGCTTTGTGTATCGCTTCCCTTTGAGGAAATAAGAGTGCCGGAGAGGAATGCAAAACAAAGGGCTTCCAGCTTGGGCTACGAGGCGACCTGTTGATTGTGAGATTAGTGGTCTAAAATTAGTCTGGGTACCAACGGTTCCCAGTGGAAACAGCTGCTCAGGAAAATATTAAGCATGCGCCCCGTTGCCGATTTATGCATTGTAGCTTGTACTGTCACAGCATTAAGAGGAAACCAAAATTGGGCATATTAAATTATGATGCTCGTTTCTTTGGCAAGTAAAGAAACACAAAAATATGAATATATATATTAGGCGGTTCGAATTTATGATTTTTGATGTCAGTTCGGATTTAAAAATTATTACCCATATAAAAAAATGATATACCTAATGCTTGGAGTACATTGCAAAAGAACCGCAGCTGATCTCATTAATATCCCAAAAAGAACGCTGGTTTAAAAAAAAACATTGCGTATGCGACCTGTTGGCCATTTAAAGTTCAAGTCAATTAAAAATAAACTCGCTCCCAACTAATTGCAGTTGCGTGCGACAATAAATATGTTATCTGAAAAACAAATGTTGAAAGTAGCCTGAAGGAAAACGGACTGTTAAAAAATGTTTAGAATCTAGCGAATTCGTGTCTTAAAATTGGAAACGCAACTGTTAAAGCGCCCATTACAATATTTATTTAAATTGTTTTATTGTATGCAATTCTCTAAACCTTCAGAGCCAAAGAAACTTCACAATTATATTCTAGCTATTCGCTAATTGAATAATCAATGCGCAGATTGGCGAATCCTCAATAAAAACAGCTGTTGTGGGACCCGTTTAAATTTAGTTCAAGTTAAGAGAAACTAGCCCCTAGTAGCAATTTCATTTAAGTTTTGTTTAGGAATTCAACTGGCCAATTAAAATCAAAACAATTTACAGTGAACTAATTAAAAATCCCTTGCTAATACGAATACTAAGGTCTTGACTAGCGGTAGGTTTGGAGCAATTTTAGAAGAAACTTAAACTTAAAGTTCAATAAAAAGAATCAAGAGAACTTTCTGCAGTTCGTGGACCTTTAAAAATACCAAGCCTATTTACGGTTTCGCTTTTGGGACGACACTTTGTTTGCAAATTACCCAAACAAAATCGATATTTATAGTTTTGGCTTAGTTTATAAACGTTGTGGGTATTTGCGCACTTGAAGGCTGCGAAAACTCAATTACATGCCGATAGCTCATTATCAAAAACTCGGGCGAGCATATGTGAATTACATGACTGCTGTCTGTGGGTTTCTGTTCGCGAACTGCGTCAATCTCTGAGTTGCGGTTGATCTCAATGGCGGACTTTGTGGTCAAATGGGGCTGAAAACATCAGGAAAAACTGAGAAGGTGTCGACTTGGCTCACATCCAGAAGACGATCTTGAAGTATCGGGTGTACGGTGTCTAACTTAGAACTTTGCATTTCCGTTTCATATCTAGTGCACTTGCACTAATGAAGTGTATCCTAAAGAGGCAGCTATTATGGAATTTCTGCTAAACTGATTCAAAGCGTATTCACTTTCGATGTGACTTCGCCTCTGAGTTCAGTGTACTCGCTGCATTTGCATAGAATATGAATAAAGTGTTCGTGGCATTCATAAAATGTTAATATAAAAGATCAAGAACCAGAGAGGAAAACACGAGAGTGCCCAATTTAATGATGAATCAAATATCGCGGCCGGCAAAAATTAAAGCTTAATTAAACGCAATTATTCAGTGTTGAGGTTTCAAGCTTCAAGAAGCTCTTGTGCACTGAACAAAATGTACCTCAAAATAAAAGCCCCTTTTTATCTTGTGGAATTGTGCCAGATTCTTGTGGATTTCCATTTGAAATCTATCCTCGTTATGTGCGGATGGCTCTTGATCTAATTGAATCATGTGAAAAGCGCGGGATGAACTCTACACGAGGCACCTGTCCAACGTCCATTTCAATTAAAACTCACTTCAGTTTAATTGTGAAGACAATAAGACAATAAAAAGGCGCCGACAAATGCTCGACAGCTATTCATCATTCAAAAGACATAATCATATCAATTTACCAGACACCAGAACAGAGCTGACACGCTCCCAAATAATCACACATACATGGGTATATATAGATTCCTACTCGTATTCATGTGCAATAACGCACAGTGTCAAAGACCCAACCATAGCTCACTGCGGGGTCAATTGATAGACTCAATTATGACGATATATCACAGAGATGCGAACCTGTGGCATGCCATTCCGCAATATGCCATATTTATGCTCAAGTGACACTCTCACATGAAGCTGGGAACTCTGGGCAGATTGGTCAAATAATTGCCAGGGAATGGGTTCCCGATAAGCGATAAGTGCAGTGCAGTTCAATTTCCTCAATTGTCGGCGGCTTCATCATGGGTCTGTTTACCTAGGAGTTCAGCATCCGCTTATCGGACTACAGTGAATGCCTGCTATGGGGAAATTCGCCTATTGTGTGCGATCATATAATGCATGCATGTTATTCGTAAATGAAACTGATAGTTACACGAAGCTTCAAACTATCATAACTAATTAAAACACATCACCGCAGAGTGTTGTAATTATCACCAATAATGGGGGATTCGACTATAGTTCTGTATATATGTATAGGACTAGTATATTCTACATGAGTGTAAACAGCAATTGAGAGTCACGCTTTGCTTAAATTGATTCAATTATATTGATAAAAATAGACGCTATGGGAATTCGTCACTCAATAAAGTGCTGCGCTTTTTGCATTTATTTGTATTCAATTCTTTGTTGGGCATTTCTTTGTTCGCCATACTTACATTAATATGGGATCCATCTGTAAATAAGAGATTTAATTTTTATATTTATTGTTTAATCTTTTGCTAGCGCTGCCTGAAAGTAGGCAACGCCTATTTAAGGAATCTACTAAAAAACCTAATTTATGATCTAATGTTATAAACATAGTCCCTATAATTATAGGTATATATAGGCTATAAAATTGTATACAATTTCTCAAAATAAGTAAATCTTATTTGCGATACACATCAATTTGTATAAAGTTATATGGCAATTATTATCCTAAGAATGTTGCAAATGATTTTATAATCGGAAACCCATCAGTAAACTTGTAGTCCGCACTACATTTATGAGTGCGCCCACGTGTCTATTTTTACTTGTTTGCCAGTGTGCATTAGCCTGCCAATTTATCCATTTTCATTGGTGTACCATGGACTTGCATCTCATTACAGGCACCATTAGACATCCACACCATCGCCCAGCGTGAGCCATGCCAACACAAAACAGCGCGATGTGGGGCCAGAAAAGTAATCGCAAATTAATTATCGGCGTTTTCGGCTTCTGCCTGGGACTGTTTGGCGTATTGTGCGGCATGTTCTGGATGGATCTGTTCGATTGGATCATGCAGAAGGTAATCCAGGTCGTTGGCAAGGGCCCAGTGTTGGCCCGGCCAGCTGCAGTTGATTAGTGGCTAAAGCCAATTGAGAGCCAAAGGGAAACAGCCGCCTCTCAATTGGCGCGGGTCAGAGATCGAGGAAAACTCGTTGAGATTTTCAATTAATACCAATTGCGGCTTCTGCTCTTCGACAGGAAATGGCTCTTGCCCCCGACACACGTGTCTACGACAATTGGAAGAGCCCGCCCATGGATCTCAGTCTGGACATCTACCTGTACAACTGGACGAATCCGGAGGAGTTCGGCAACCTCTCCACAAAGCCCATTCTGGAGCAGGTGGGTCCCTATCGTTTTACCGAGCGACCCGATAAGGTGGACATCCACTGGCATCCGGAAAACGCATCCGTGAGCTATCGCAGGCGCAGCCTGTTCTACTTCGATGCGGCGGGCAGTAACGGAAGTCTGGACGATGAGATTACCACCCTCAATGCTGTGGCCCTGGTGAGTATCCCACGAGTTACCTCCCTGTACTTGCATAATATCCTACAACAACCGATCCACCTTTCAGTCCGCAGCCGCCACTGCCAAGCATTGGCCCCCGGTTAAGCGCTCCTTTGTCGACGTGGGGCTGAAGATGTACGGCGCCGAAATGGCCGTCCAAAAGTCGATCGACGAACTCCTCTTCACCGGGTACAATGACGCCATGATCGACGTGGCCATGGCCATGCCCATTTTTGGGGATGAGGTGAAGGTTCCATTCGATAAGTTCGGTTGGTTCTACACGCGCAACGGCAGCGCCGATCTCACCGGAGTTTTCAATGTCTTCACGGGCGCAGATCACTTGGGCAAGTTGGGTCAGATGCACTCGTGGAATTACCAGGAAAACACTGGCTTCTTTGATTCCTACTGCGGAATGACAAATGGATCCGCCGGCGAGTTCCAGCCCCAGCATCTGAAGCCCGGCGATAGTGTCGGTCTATTCACGCCCGATATGTGCCGAACGATTCCGCTGGATTATGTGGAAACCGTGGATGTTGAAGGACTGGAGGGCTACAAATTTTCAGGCGGACCGCGATCTGTAGACAATGGTGAGTCCTGGTAGGACTTGGTTAATTGCGAGTACCCATTACATTATGGGTTTATTTTGCAGGTACCCTGTATCCCGAAAACCTTTGTTACTGTGGTGGCCAATGTGTTCCCTCGGGTGTGATGAACATCAGTTCCTGCCGCTTCGGATCTCCCGTGTTTATGTCCTATCCGCACTTCTTCAACGGCGATCCCTACTACGTGGACCAGGTTGAGGGCTTGAGTCCCAACCAGAAGGATCACGAGTTCTATATGGTTGTGCAGCCAAGTACTGGTATTCCGCTGGAGGTGGCTGCCCGCTTTCAAGTCAATATGCTCGTGGAGCCAATCCAAGGCATCAGCTTATACACGGGAATACCAAGAACATTTTTCCCACTCATATGGTTTGAGCAGAAGGTAAAAATCACTCCAGAGATGGCAGACCAACTGAAGGTGCTGCCCATCGTGATGCTGTCCGGACAAATCTTCGCCGGAATTTGTTTGGTCGTGGGCATAACTCTCCTCTGCTGGACTCCGGTGCAGAGTCTATTGGCTTCGTGTCGGCATCGCAGATACGATCTGAAGACCAAAACCAAATCGAATGGCCAGTATAAGAGTCGCTCGCAATTCTCCAGTGCCGAGGAACTCAAGTCCAAGGCCTCTACTTTGGTCTGCGAAAAGAGTGCCAAAGGATCTCCGGACAGTTCTCCGCTCCTCGAAAAAGGCCGGAAGGCAACCATCATCAAATCGCAGACGGGTGAGAGTGTGGCCACTGCATCCACGGCCATCAGCGACAACAAGCAGGATTGAACAGGACAGTCACATCCACGCCATCTAGATAGTTAAGCCGTCCTAGTGCTTTAGTCGTAGTTCATACTCGTAGTTTAGAGACACTGCAAAAAACACCCAACTGAAAATTGCAAGCATTCCCGTGCCTATGCCAAAGATTAGATAGCCTCCGAAGTCGAGCCGTTTGGCGGTCTTCGCTTAGCTAACGAATACTCTTTTTACATTCCTTAGTTCTTAGATATGTTTTGTATTAAATTGATTTCAAGACCAATGGCTTTCGTGTCAAATAAAATCTCCAACTAAAAACAAATGAGTATTTAAGTGGGTAAGACCTCGCCAAATATCTTTTGCTCTTTACTATTCTTATTAGAGTTCACAATGTTTTCTTTGAATACTTGTATTAACAATTGTTTCATCTTTATTAGTTCAATAACAATTCTACAAAATATATAGTACATATGGTATCAACTTTAATGCCTTTCTCATGAGCTCGAATCGTGAGCAATTTAATGATTGTATATTACTTTCTTAACCTTACGTTTAAAGGGCAAAGAGACTATTACTTAACGTACGACAATATTTGCAATATCACAAATGACCCAACTTAAGTGACTAAAATACAAATCGAAAGGGGGAAGTAAGGACTTTGGGGAGATAGTTCTGGAGTTCTCCTTGTACTATTACTTCTTCATCTTATACCCCGCAGTATAACCATAGCTGTCGGCAACTAAAAAGGTCAAAGTTATTAGAATATAAAGCTCACTTCGGATGTCTAGGACTATCTTACGTTCATAATCCTTGGAATAGCACTCAAAGAATTCGCCCAGCAGTTTGCCGGGTGGCAGTTCCCATGTGGCAGAACCACCGTACTTCGGAGGCAGAGCACTCGCCTCAATGTGGGAGATCAGGGACTTGTAGTCCTTGCCATGGAAGAAGATCTACAAAACAGGCATTTATTATAACACACAATTGCTAATTCATGTATTTCTGGGCGCAACTCACCCTCTTGCGCAGCTTTTCGCGAATGAATGGCTTGAATATGGCAAAGAGCATATTGAATATGTACGAATTATTCACTATGTGAACGGCTTTCAAGCGCATGCAGATGCATTCCTGAATGTAATCCAGCAACATGGCCGCAAACGACGGGGTAAATTGTGTGATGTGGCTAAGTGGCAGCCCTGCGAAAGGGTTAATATTTATAAATAGATGTCATAATTTGCTTTTGATGTCCAGCATTCATTACCTTCCATATCGATGATCACCACTGCGCCGCAAATTTGGGAGTAGGGCTCCACCATCGAACCCAGTACGGTCAATTGAATGCCGCGGAATAGGTCCACCAAGGGCACTTGTGATGGCTTCCACTTTTCTATAGTTAATCATTTATTTAAATATTATTTATTTAGGTTTGTGTAATGTCCAAACTTACTGCCAGCTTCCAGCACCAAAAGGCGACGGCCGTGCTGATCTCTTTGGGGCAGCAAATTCAGAATATTTGCCTCGAAAACGTTTCTCAACTGGCTGGGGATTATGTTCTCGCAAGCGATTCCGTACTTCAATTTCATGTGATAAAAGTTCTTGAGCTATAGGTAATACAAAAGAAAACAAGAAACAAATATTTAGCAGGCAGCTTATTACAGCAATGTGTTTGAACAAATTACTTACCCTTTTCAAGGCACTTTCTGGATAGTAATGGGTGGGCCGCAGGAACATCATCATGTACTCATCATCCAGCGGCAGGTTCAGGTACTTTTCATCTATTAATTGCAATTTTTCGTAGTTAAAATGATCAGCCACCGAGCATACGCTTCACCCACTTTGAATAAGTTCCCTGAGGTCCTTGATGGCCTGCTCCTTCACACCGGGCACTTCCCGCAGCTCCTCCTGCGCCTTCTTCAGTGCCCACTCCGGAGCTGGTTCCTTCTCCATGCGGATCCGCGCCGAGCCCAGATCGACGTAGGGCAGCTGGTGCTCATCGTAGCTAATGCACTCTGCCTTGCCCATTGTGTGGATGTGCTGTGGATGTGATCTGCCGCTAGTTGTTCACCGGTTCAGGCTGCGAACGAGAATGAAGTTGTTTTGGTCTCGGCTCAAACATTTTGAGTGGTTTGGCAACCATTTCCTCAACGCGATCGGCACAACTGGGTTACTTCCGCAGCTGGGCCAAAACGCAAAGCCAAAGCAAAAGCGGCAGCAGTTCAATGCCTCGCTCCAATGGAAACTGTTCAATATACGAGCTTACATATCTATACACCTCGATGTTTATGTATGACTCAAAGCTGATCTTCATAGGCAAAAGTCGCCGAAAACCGCCACAACGGAAGAAGCGTCCGCCGGACAAACGGGTAAATGTATATACACATATTTTTATATAGATATAGATATAGCAACAGATAGACTGATAGACAATAGTGCCCAAAACTGGTCGGAAAACGTGCGGCGGGCGGCTAAATTCGTTGGATACCCTCACCGCAAAGGCTATAGAAATTCGGTCAGGGCGTTTGTGCACTTCTTGGGTCATTTATCATGATTTCTCAAAGCCTGTCATATCCTAACGGAATTAAATTATTCGCACGCTGATATTGCTTTTTATGGCGAAGTTTTAGTAAAAGTGGTATAAATTATGTTGCGTCTTCAAATCACCAGAAATAAAAGAGTTTGAGTTCGGACGTTCAACTCATATATTATATTTTTTTACCGCTGCATAGTGTTAAGATCAAACATTTTTCAGAACAAATAAAAAGATTACTCATTTTTTTGGATTTTCTTAGGGACTACAGTCTTTGAACTCTCGTTCTCTCCATATGCTTGATACATATCAACCAGTACGTGTCTCGACTGTTTGGCTCGCAGACGACTTGGCAACACCTTGGCTAGCAAAACAAAATTGGTCAAAATCGGCTCGATGACGTAGCACTTGTGATCTATGCCCTGTCATGAAGGACTTGACAATGGCACAGAAAAGTCGGACTCGAAGTCGAGAAGTTAAAGAATCTGGTCGGTCTAGTGAGCTGCAGAGTAGTGCAAATCGGTGTTGGCCATTAAATCTGATTTACTGCTGCTCTTGTGATTCAAAGCAATTAGTACGTTTTTCGATATTGACTTTTTTGTTCGGTCAACGCGAATGAAGGTAAAAGTCAAGGGCGAGGGCAGAGATTGTTTGACTTTATTATATATAGCAGATTGGAGACGAAAAAATTGAAAAACTTGGAGTCAACATAGGCAGTTGTCATTTGTCGGCAATGTGTTGCGGCTTTTTGAGTTTCGTGGCTTCCAGAAATTTCGTCAATGAATCTTGGGTAATTTATGCTTTTATTTATTTTGGGCCTTTCTGTTTGACTTGGTCTTTGCCGTGGAGTTCAACAGCCCATAAAGTTATGCGCATACTAATTTGTTGGTCAATCTTGTCTTCCGATGTTGTAAAATCCAATTAAACTGGGAAAATAAGTGACATGGGTGTGACATGCAAAAATAAGTAAATAAAATGCACCAGATAATCGTAGTCTTGGTTGTGAGACATTTCCTTGGCACAGCTTTCGTGACTAAAATAATTGACAATTAAGAGCACGCAAAATGTCAAGTAAATTGCTCCAAAAGGGCTAATATCATGTAATAATCCGTCAAAAATAACACTTTCATAGGTGCAATTCCCTCAAGTTTCAGCTCAATTTAAGCTAATTCGTTTATCGCAGTAAAACTATATAACACAGTTCTATTTAGTCTATGCCACAAATAGCGAATTGGTGCTAATTGCGGGGAAATGAACTTTGAAAGGTGACTTAATCGGCCTTATGCACTTAGGCAAAATTTTAATATAGCCACCTTTGTAGTTTAGTGTCATTGTTGAGAAATAAGCCAGAATCACAGTGACTCAGCTTTAGTCGTTCTTTCGGTTTTAAGGTATGTAGGTTGAGAAGGGAGCTATCAAGTTAAATGATGTGATCTTATAAGTGTTCTTGAGCTTCAGGGACACGTAGCAAAAATGAATGTATATATTTCCACTGATAATTGTTGTTTAGTAGGGAATATCCTGAATATATGCAGTACAACATTTTATCGAAATACTCTCTATAAAAAACGAGTTTCCACGCACCTCGGTCTTGAGATCTGCCACAAGTCATTGAACGCATCCTTGAAAATGATCCCCGGTTTTTATGCCTTTTAAACTAGTTTACACTGGTAAATTAGTATTCCTTAAACAGGAAGTTAACACAAGGAACAGGTAACCTATTCAGAAAGTCCTTTGTCTTAATGGAATTTTTAGCATTGTGCCCAACTTAAACCTTTATACAATATAGTTCCTGGACTCTGCAACTTGATTTATTAGACTTTATTAGCTATTAGATTTTAACATATCGGAATTTCGCACTTCTCAATTTGAATTAAAATCAGGAAAATCAAAACCGCAACAGCAACCAAACCCGTTTTCAGCTAGCTTAATTGGGAACCCTGTTTATTGTTTATGACCCACGACAGAGTACTGCGAACCCAACCTCCCGGATGCACTTTTGGCAGAATCCGATGTTTCCAGTGAAGGAAAACCTCCAACAGTCGATCAAAGTCTGTCGCAAGCAAATAATTACCCACTTAATAGCTGGCATTATGTGCCCCAACTTCACCTGCCCCAACAATTGGGCTCCACTCAGTATTATTTCACTTTATCTGGTTGAACTTTTGTGGCCTTTCACTAGCCCAGCCCCAACCGAATCGTACAGAGGCGATTTACTTACTGTCGCTGGCCAGCGGAAACAAAGTGCAATTGGGTTAAAATCCAGTAGTAGTCGGTCGGTTAAATAAGCTGATAACTGGTATCGCAACGCACAAGGAAAGAGAACAAAGGAACATTCAAATTCAGTTTGAAAGTCTAATCGAGTTATGTCCACTCATATAAACGAGCTATTATTGTATATAGATTAGCAAACAGCAGTAATCCCGAAAACAAAGTGCTGTCTAATCAATTCAAACTCAACGGCGGGGCACTCAAGTATTAGAAAAAAATCCGAAACAATGCTGCTTTTATAATAAGAAAACAATGCACTCAATACTCGGAGCCAACATGATATGCATAAATAAACAAGTCATATGAAAAATGATCAATACCATCAACTAGCCGGCTATTAGATGCAAATTGCAGTTTTTCTTTATGCCAATTTTTTCCCCCATTTTGCAGCGCCACAGATGACGAAGCAATTGTTAAGCTGATGCCGCGGCAAAATTGAATCAGAAAATCCGAAGTTTTAAACACCCTTGCAGATAACTAATCTTAAAACTTTAGAAGAGCCTTTGTTTTCATTACAGACTCAGCTG